CCCCTGGGTTAGGCCCTTTCGAGCTCTGTGCAGACAATGGTAACCCTGTTAGAATCCTGTTGTCATGGAACGGCCGCCCTCATTCTTAATTCATAATGCTCTCCTTTCATAAAGGCTGTGGAAGAGCTGGGTTAATGACCACACGTGGAAAGTTGAAAGAGAAACCAAAGTAAATGTGTGCATTTAGCCTCTGCTCAGCTTTTCAGTTTTAATCAATCAAAAAAAAAAGTGCATTTACCTTATGAAAACTCTAACTGGAACATAATTATTGGCTCTATTACATCTTTGGTTGAGAATCATTTGTTGTTAGTAACAGAAGGCCCCTTAATTAAAGTATCAAAAGGGGAAGATGAGGCATAGGTGTGTGTGTTAGGAGGAGATTTATTGGAAGGTTACAGGGTGTCTCAGTTGTGGGAAATACAACTGACTCTCCCAAAGGGCTAGAACCAGGAATTGGAAAGCTTCGGGAATCTCGTTTGTCTGTCTCTCCCCCACTTCTTCCCCCTCCGCCTCTCTTTCAGCATGGCTTCTCATCCTGACAATTCCACAGTCAGCTTCATTCTCCCATCTCCATAGACTTGCTTTCTCTGCCGCGCTCATTGTACGTACACAACTGAGAATGTTTCCAGTACAGGCAGCCCTCCACCTCTCCCATTTCAAGGGCACAGAGACTGTTGAGAAGGTCTTGTTTCAATTTCTGATTACTAAAATAATCATTAAAATGGTTCTGCTTGAATCAAATGTCCACCTTGATCCAGCCTGCTTGGGGCCCAGGGAGATGGGGTGTCCTGCCATCAAAAGCAAGCCCCCTACCAGGTTCTCGTTAAGCGTGGTTATTTAGTGAGGGCAGCCCTCCTGAATACCATGGTCACTTCAATCCTAATTCCATAGGTAATATATATGCTTTATGTAGAAAAATTAGGAGACAGACACGTGAGAAGTGGGAGGGGAAAAATCATCCTGCTAACCAGAAAGTATTTCAGAATCTTGAAGTGTTTCCTTCTAGACATTTTCACTTACTTTAAACGAATTTTTTATCTCCTATTGGTTTGTGTTACGCTAGAGATGAAGTTCAATGGTCACCAAGACAGACACGAAGTACAGTGGTCACCAAGACACCAAGCCTCCCTCTCTGGGGCCCGTTATAACATGGGAGACGGACTTAAAAAATGGAAGCAAATGAACACGAGTCTTCCAGAACTACAGTAAGCGCTGTAGAGGGAACAATCAAGAGGGTGAGATGGAAGAGAACCCTGAGGGCATATTTGAGGTCAGTGGTCACGGAGAACCTCTGCTGGGGTCACACTGGAGGAAAAGGAGCTCGCTATGGTAAGAATGGGAAGGGGTAGAGAGAGCGGAGAGTTCCAGAACATCACTCACTGAAGACCTGAAGCTGAAGTCACCTGTGATGTTTGGGGAAATTGTTAGAAAGTAATACAGCAGCGTGGGCGTGCGAGGGACGTCGTCTCGTTGCTATGAGAACACACGGGGACGCGCGGCATTCATGTGGGGGGTAGAGGCACAGTTATGTGGGGAGAGGCGAAATGTGGGGTCAGGTTCTCAGAATGTGGTTACCAGACACTTGGCGCCGAAAGCAGAGAGGGCCCAGGGAAGAAGGAAGAACGTGCTCGAAGACAAGGAGACTGACGAACAGGGAAGCTTAGTAGCCACTGAAGTCGGACAAACCACTGAGGACGAGAGAGAAGCACTGCCAGGAATTAGGAGTCACCGAGGGGTTTATTATTTTTTTATTATTATTGTTTTACAAAAAGGAGGCAGCTTTCCAGTACCCGGGTTTAACCCCCCAGATAATGAATCGACCGACAGCTCTGGGATGTATGAGGGCACGCTCTCTGCCAGCTGGGGGCTGTTCCTGATGTTCACACCGGCCAGCGTTCTGGAATGAGTCCAGCCGCCGCCAGCACAAGGAAAGAGCGCGCTCCGAGAACACCCGCGCCTCCCCTCTCTCTCCCGGACTTCCAGGCCCAGCGCCCGGCGGCCCCGCCACGGGACGGAGAGCGGCTGAGTCGGTCCTGTGGTTTATGAAGGGGGTGTGGCTCATGGCCAACGGCAGAGGCTCATGGCCGGCCTGTAAACTGGCTCATCGAGTGTCCCCAGGCCGCTGGCTGCCCAGTGAGTCCAATCATCCCCCAGTGAGTTGGAGCTAGTGCTGGACTGAGCTCCTGTGACATGAGATGGACAAACGCTCTCTCTTCCGTGGACTCCTTGGAGTCACAAGGAAGTGGAAAGACCGGCAAACCTGAATCAGTGACCAAAGACACTATTAGACAGATCGTGCTAAAATCGTTAAAGCAGGAAGAAAGAACGTGAGGGAGACCAGAAGGGGGAGGCCTCACAAGGGAGATGCGTTGACCTTGATCTCGGCCGCTTAGAGTGAAGCTTCCAGACTGAGGAGGAGAGTAGCCTCTTGATTGATGGTACTTAATACATTGTACATTCTGCTGAGGAGGACATTTAGAGATTTCCAGAGTACTGTCAACATCGTACACAAAGCATTTGCTTTGGTTTTTGCTTCAGTATATTTTGGGTGAAAAAATGAGTCATGATTAAAGTGTTTCATGCACAAAGTGGTTGGGTTTTTCAGGCTTTTACAGACCCTTCTGTTCATTTTCTGTCAAACACAGAGGGTCCATCTCTGAAAGGTGGCCCTGCAGGCCCCTGCTCTCTGACGATTATAGCATCTAGTCAGGATGACCAAGGAGTAGTCACCAGGATACTCACACTGGTTACTGCTAAGTAGATCTGGAGTGACACTGGTTAAGCTAGTAGACAACATGGCAGAATTCGTTGTTCAGTCGCTCAGTCGTGTCCGACTCTTTGCGACCCCATGGGCTGCAGCATGCCAGGCTTCCCTGTCCTTCAGTGTCTCCTGAAGTTTGCTCAAACTCATGTCCATTGAGTCGGTGATGCCATCCAACCATCTGATCCTCTGTTGTCCCCTTCTCCTCCTGCCTTCAATCTTTCCCAGCATCAGGGTGTTTTCCAGTGAGTCATTCTTCTCATCAGGTGGCCAAAATATTGGAGCTTCAGCTTAACTGTCAGTACTTCCAAAGAATATTCAGGGTTGATTTCCTTTAGTATTGACTGGTTGGATCTCCTTGCTGGTCTTAGGGACTCTCAAGAGTCTTCTCCAGCACCACAGTTTGAAAGGATCAATTCTTCAGCTCTCAGCCTTCTTTATGGCAGAATACTTCTACTTGAACTTTTTAATTTCATCTCAACATTCCCCTGTTGCTAGACAACAAGTTTTGTTGACCCCATCACTAGCAGTGTAGCAGAATATCGTCAATCAGTCATATTATTTGCATATCTGGGGGACATTTCCTTGGAAGGGAGAGGGACTCCTTCCTATCTTTCCAAGCAAAGGCCACTCCCCTCCACAGCTATAATCCCATGCTCCCCTCTGCGGAGCAACCATCACATTGCACTGTTACTTTCCGTTTTATTTCAGACAGACTGGTACCTTCCTTTTCATTTGTTTGATCAGCTCTCACATGTATTGAGCACTGTGTTCCAAAACCAATTTTGCAGGTTCTTTGTGCTCTAAACAACAACCCTAAGACACAGTCTCACAGAACATCTCCTTGGTGCTAAGTAAATATCTGTTGAATGGATGAGTAAACAAATGTTGTTTTACACATGAGGAGAAGCTCATCTTGTTGCCTTCAGTTTGCCTTTATCTAGCACATGCCTGGCATGTAACAGTCAGGACAGCAGGAAGCACCTCACAGGCTCAGACTCAAGTATTATCTCTTCTCCTGGGAGAGAGCCACCAGCGGTGGAGTGCTGTCCTGCGCCGTGCACGCTGCTGGTGCTTTCCCACAAGGTCCCTGCTCGTACTGAGCGCCCGTCCTACAGTGAGGGAAGGGCCTGGTTCACGCTCAGTGGACAGGAGGGGAGCAGCCTTCCTATCCCAGGCTCACTAGCAGCTGAATTCAGCCTCCTTTGAGATCCCACAGCCTCCCATTCACCTAGATAAAATAGGATGTCTGAAATATCATATATCACTTGTATGTGGAATCTGAAAAAAATAATACAAATAAACTTATTCACAAGGCAGAAATAAACCCACAGACATAGAAAATAAATTCATGCCTACCAAAAGGAAAGAGAAGAGGGATAAATTAGGAGTTTGGAATTAATATATACACAATGCTGAATATAAAAGAGGTAAACAACAAAGATCTACTGTAAAGCACAGGGAACAATATTCAGTATCTTGTAATAACCCATCAGGGAAAAGGATCTGCAAAAGAACAGATACACATGTGTGTATAATTGAATCCCTTTGCTGTATACCTGAAACTAATGCATCACTGTGAATCAACTGTATTTCAATTAAAGAGAAAAAAATGAGATGGCCACATCTCTGAGTTGCCTCAGAGAGCCTATGTCTCATCCCTCTTCCCTCTGTGAATGTTTTATGAATTGATGATAGACTTGAAACATTCTCCAAAGGACAAGGGATAAAAGTGTGCAAACTGAAAAATGCCATAATGAAACACCCTCCCTCTGCCCTGTAATGAGGAGTGTGTTTCTGGGGCAATTTCCAGCTCTTCTGGTTACTCTTGTAGAAGTAGCCATGACAATATGAAGGGAGGGAGAAGCATTAAAGCAAGTTTGAATGTGGGACACTTTGGCATTTAGCATCTTTAGAAGGACACTGTGTTGACTTGTTTTCTCTACAAAGATCCTGAATTTGCACTTCTCTGGTTTCTATAGAAAATTTTATCTTTGGTTTGATAAAAAAAATAATAATAACTATTTTATTGACTTAAGTAGTCACGTTCCCCAGAGTCCAGACCTTAGGGAACAAAGCTACGGGATTACTTTTCCATATAGTTCTAACATGCTTTCTCTGACACCTTCCACCCCACCAAAAAAAAAAAAGCTTTACTCTGAAGGAGTAAAAATGGAAATTCCTGAAAATCATATAGGAACCATGCCCAACTTCTTTGAGCTGCAGTGGTTTCATTCACATGGGGCATGGAGTCGAGAAGGAGTCAAGAATTACATGCCAGCTTTGGCATTCGCTTAGGAGGCTCAGCACCCCGTGGAATCCATCATGAAGCTTCACACACTCCTTCACATTTGGTTTATGTGGATGAAAACAAGGTTCTGGTTCTCAGGGCTTCTTATTCCTGGACTTCAGGGTTCAGAGGAAAGTGATCACTAAAGCACAGCTCTAGTGGAACCACTAAATTGCTTGTGAATTGGTTAATAAAATAATCACCACAGCCTTCTTAACATTGTTTTACTGCTCAGCAGTTAGAAGGGTACAACTTCCCAAGTACTGAGATCATCCAAGAAACTACTCTTTGAACACCTGTAATGTGCCCAGCACTGTGGTTAGGACCAAGAGCAACCAGTCAATATCGGACAAGGTGTGTGCGTGCGTGCTAAGTCACTTCAGCCATGTACAACTCTTGGCAATCCTGTAGGGTCTGTGGGCCGTCAGGCTCTCTGGCCATGGGATTCTCCAGGCAGGAATACTGCGGTGGGTTGCCATGCCCTCCTCCAGGGGAATCTTCCCAACCCAGGGACAGAACCCGTGTCTCCTAGATCTCCTGCATTGGCAGCCAGGTTCTTTATCATGAGTGCCACCTGGGAAGCCATAAGACACAGTGTCTGCACTCAAAGAGCTTGAAATCTAGCCGGGCAAATCTAATTACTATGTGGACATAAAACAATACCTCACAATACAGGGGAGCACTAAAGGAGAAGCTCAGAGGTCTTCAACATCCAGATGAGAACTAGAAGCTTTTTGATGTCTTCCGCAGAAGGCTTTAAAATCCCATCTTGTTTGTATGGGGGCAGGTGAGCCAGGGAAGAATCAGTCTTACCTTCAAGTACTGGGATGAGCTGGAACTGACTGTTTCAGGATCTCAAACATTTTTATTTCAAGAATCAAGTCAAGAGTCATAAATTATTGGTCTCCTCATGTTGGTGGTGGTGGTTTAGTCGCTAAGTTGTGTCTGACTCTTGTGACCCCATGTACTGTAGCCTGCCAGGCTCCTCTGTCCATGGGATTCTGGAATACTGGAGTGGGTTGCCATTTCCTTCTCCAGGGGATCTTCCTGAGCCAGGAATCGAACCCCGGTCTCCCACATTGCAGGCAGATTCTTTACTGACTGAGCTATGAGGGAAGCCCACTTCTCATGTTACCCTCAACCCCATCTCTCATCAGCCGTGAGTAAAATGGCCTGAGCAAAATTTACCGGTAATGGGACCAAGATACCCCCTTAAAGACCTAGGCAGTGGTAAATTTAGTTCTCGCATTTATTTCTTCTTGAGAAAGACAGAAATCTACTTAAGGGGAAAAAAAAAAGGTGACCTATGGACTGAATTGTTACCTTTGTGTAGCATATTCCCTGTTTCCAGGGCAGCATGGCAGACAAAGAATGCATTTATTTTGTGGAAAGGGATGGGGGCAGGGGAAGAAACAGAAACCAGAGGATTGTGCAATCATGGCATTCTTAAATCCCTCCAGGAAGTTTATGTTTCGAGTCCTTTGAAAGAGTAGAACACAGCTGTTCAAAAAGGCGAGTTTATCAGGGGGCTGCAGGCACTATTCCACCGTTGGATTTTTCTTGGCCATTGGCTTCTCGGCACCTCCATCCAAAGCCCTCGGGGCAGGCAGGCCACTGTGTCTGGGCCCTGCCCTGAGCAGGCCTACACCTTCCCCCGGTAGAGACCTTAGGCCTCAAATAGCATCGAGGTGTTCAAGTAAAGAGTCAGAACAAGGATGAGAGTGAAAGGAAACAGGCTACCGGATCTCAGTGAAGGGAAGCAGGGTGAGTCCTGCACGCCACCCAGACAAGACTTGCTGCGTTGAAATCCTTTCCAAAAGAAGTCCCTTCCTCGGATGGCCAGTGAAAGGGGGAGATTGTATGCCTCATCTCACACTTTAAACATAGTAATTGTGGGGTGCAGCTTTATTGTACAAAACAAAAAAGTGCCTCTCAGTCCACCTAGGAAAATAGAAACGTTGGAATGTAGCATTCACGCGACGCCTTTACGTGCTGCCACAAGCTTCGTCATCTGCATATTTTCTCCCTTGCCAGAGATCACTGGCTAGGGGATGGTCCGGAACCCTCTCTGCATGCTCAGTAAATCTTTCTGACTGACCAAGTGACCCTTTGTCTCTTCCCTTCCTTGAGGGCGATGTTCTGAGCTTTCACTGTCAGCCTCCAACCAGTGACGACCCCGTTCCCCCTCGCGTCCGTCCCTCTGAGCCCCAAATGCCCTTGGCCCTGCCCCGTGCCTGCCATGCATCTCCGTTCTATCACCCCTTTGTCTTGGCTCTCTGCATGCCCCGCGTTGAGAACAATGTTGGCATGTGGCGAATGAAAGGCCGAGAGGAAAGTGAGCAGTCTGGTTACTGATTAAGGAGGAGGAATTTGGAACCAGACCAGGTTGGCCACCCGCCTCCATATTTTTCACTATGTGATCTTAAAGTTAGGAGTGGCCGTTTCTTCACTTGTAAGAGGAAGATCAGAACACATGTGCAGAAAGCTGGGAGATGATTACATGGGACCGTACACAACTCTTGTTTGAAGAGCATCTGTCTTGAAATAAGCATTCAGAATGCAGTTGTTCTCAGGGGAGCGCCTCTGGGGGGCCTCGGACAGTCTTGCTTTTGAAGGCCCCTTCTTCCTTATAAAAATTTTAAAAATGATATTTTATGACTCTGCTAACATCAAGATAAAGACAGTACTAGGGCTTCCCAGGTGGTGCAGTGGTAAGGAACCCACCTGCCAATGAAGGAGATGCAAGACACAGGTTTGATCCCTGGGTTAGGAAGACCCCCTGGACGAGGGCCTGGCAGCCCACTCCAGTATTCTTGCCTGGAGAATCCCATGGACAGAGGAGCCTGGGAGACTACAGTCCATAGGGTCTCAAAGAGTCGGACACGACTTAAGACAACACAGCGCATTATATATTAAAACATTTCGTCAACCTAAAAGTTCAATTTGTCTTCCATCTTAAATCATTTTTATGGGTCCCTAAGACTATTGTGGTCCCTTGGCCTTGTACCTATGCAGTCTAAGGGGTGCATCATCCTGACTGACAGATTTATTTTGGAATTTCTTTCCTCTGCCTTCTCAATTCTAGTAACTGCTTTCTGGAAATTGTCTGGGCCCTCTGGCCTTCAGGATATACCCTGCCTCGACCTCACCCCTCCCATCTTCCCAGCCATTTGGAAGGTCTGCACTGTTGGAGCTCCCAAGTTCCTTAGTCCAGCCACCATCTTTCTCACTGTAAACCCATGTCTTCACTCCTCTGATTGAGTCTCATTCCTGGCCTGGGGAGGCGGCACTGAGTTTTTCTAACAAACTATTTCTCACTGAGATATTCATGATATGACTCTCTCTGCTCCTTCTCTGCTCCTTCTAGGATATTTGCACTTTGTCACAGAACTTTTTGAGCCTCTATGTCATCATTCCAAGCCAGATATCTGATAGAGGCATTTTAGTCCAGCAAAGAAAATGTTTCAGAGCAAAGATTGAGCTTTAAGAATCCCTGAGATTGTATTGTGCCTCTTCCCTCTATGCATTCACTGGGTCTTGATGATGTAACTGTGATGAGAAGCTTCCACAAGGCAAGACATAAACTGTCTCCCAGTTCTCTTGGTTAAGGGTCATGCCTGATGAAGTCCTAGTGGAATCTCTTTGTCCATGGAGATGTCTTCTGCATGTCACTGGGGAGGACTTCTGTTCCCCAGCGTAAGTCATCCATCCAGCTATGCTTGGTGGTAACCTTACACCATGTTACATGTGCCTCAAAAAACGATTCTAACTCCCTCAGTGTCTGTTATTTTCTGGGTTCATTGGGAAAGCATTCTCAGAGTTAACCTTATTTATAAAGGAGGGAACTACAGTCCATAGAAGAGAGAATTTCCTACCTAAAATAGCAAAACAAATTAATGCCGGAATCAGGACTAGACCCTGGGCCAGTGTCCTCAATACCCGTGTGTGGGCACTACTTCCCTCTTCAGGGCCTGGGTGCCATTTACTACCTAGCACAGGCTCTGCAGTGGGAATGCTTGGTTTGATTCCGGCCTTTATTGCTTAGTATTTGTGTGAACTTGAAGAGTCATTCAGTCTCCCAACCTCAACTGGCTCACCGGTGAAAGGGAGGGGAGAGGGTAGAAATAGTATCAACCTTATAGAGTTGTTGTTGCAAAGATTCTTAGAGTTGTTTGTGAGAGTTAAATGAGATTTAATTTAATTTAGCACAATTAATATGCTAAGCCCATGCAAAGAGCTTAGCATAAGGCCTAGCACACAGCCCTCAATAAATGACTGTTGTTGTTGCTATTATTACTACTGCTGCTGCTATTACCACCGCTAATTCTATCACTGCCTCTCCAGTCCTGATAACTTAGAGAAAGTGCTGGAGCTGCTTCCCAGGGTATGTACTGAGCTACCCAGGGAGTGGCCTGAGCTGTAGGAGAATCTGGAAGAACAGGTTTTTTTCAAAGCAGTGGAAAATAAATCAAAGGCAATAACCCAAACCTGGAAAAAGAATGTTTTCCTTTGTTTGTTCTTTACTCAGTGTGAAAAAAAAAAACAAAAAAAAAAAAACACCTTCAAAACGTAACTTATGCTGAAATAAATCAGCATGGCCACTTTTGAGGCAGCATGGCTGCCTCTCTGCAGTGTGTGCTCTTTCTGACCCCCTGAGAACAGTGACCACTTTCAGTGGGCGCCAGATGTAGTGATGACTGACAGTGTTCTGTGATAATGTTGGCCTCCATCAGGGGAGAGATGACATTAGGAATCAGGGAAACATGGAGAGACAGCAAAGATGGGGAAAATAAAAGCTCCACAACCAGGGACATAGCGCACCCTACCCCTTGTTGCAAACTGCTCATCTCCCAGTGTTAGATCTCATGGGACTTATTAGTTCGGGCTCTTGGCTGAAAGTAACAGAAGCCCAACTCATGTTAACTTAAGGAAAAAGCAGACTTTATTATAAAGATTCCACAGTGTAGCAAGGAAAACAAGGAGAGCAGTAGAGGTGGCCTCATGTTGAAATCAGGCCCTCAGATGCTCTCAAAATTTGTGTCCTTTCTCTCTCCATCATTCTCTTTCCACAGACTTTCTTCCTCTGTGGTTCTGGTTGTTTAATGGTGCAACACTTCACAGGTTTTATAAACAGCAGTGTGTTAAGAGTGTTAGTTGCTCAGTCATGTCCAACTCTTTGTGACCCCATGAACTGTAGCCTGCTAGGTTCCTCTGTCCATGGACTTCTCCAGACAAGAATGCTGGAGTGGGTTACCATTTCCTCCTCCAGGGGATCTTCCTAACCCAGGGATCTAACCTGGGTCTCCCACATTGCAGGCAGTTTCTTTACTGTTGAGCCACAAGGGAAGCCCATAAATGACCACGCAGCCACCCAAAAAGAGCCTCGCTTCACTTTCTCTCAATTTCAAAATCTTCCTGGAAGGAGTGATTAGCCCAGCTTGGGTCAGGTTCCTTTTCCTGATTACCCATCAGCAATGGTAAAATGTAAGCACTGGTTATACCAACATGGTACATCCTCCATAACTATATACACTTATGAGGGGCACAACCTCAGGTGATGGATTAATGAAACAGGTATTGTTGAACTACATGATAAGGAACATATTGTTCACACTCAGCCCTAGACCGTGTCCCCACCATTCTCTGGTTCCGCATCCTGTGCTCACTGCCCCCTCCCTCTTACACAAGGCAAACCCTACCCCTAAACAAGCTGACTCCAGCATCAAATAGTGGAAATGACACACGCTTTAGAACTGCCCAGTTCAGTTCAGTTCAGTCACTCAGTCGTGTCCGACTCTTTGCAGCCCCATGAACCACAGCATGCCAGGCCACCCTGTCCATCACCAACTCCCGGAGTTTACTCAGACTCGTGTGCATCGAGTCGGTGATGCCATCCAACCATCTCATCCTCTGTCGTCCCCTTCTCCTCCCACCTTCAATCTTTTCCAGCATCAGGGTCCTTTCAAATGAGTCAGCTCTTCACATCAGGTAGCTAAAGTATTGGGATTTCCGCTTCAGCATCAGTCCTTCCAATGAATATTCAGGACTGATTTCCTTTAGGATTGGCTGGTTTGATCTCCTTGCAGTCCAAGGGACTCTCAAGAGTCTTCTCCAACACCACAGTTCAAAAGCATCAATTCTTCGGCGCTCAGCTTTCTTTATAGTCCATCTCTCACATCCATACATGACCACTGGAAAAACCATAGCCTTGACTAGACGGACCTTTGTTGGCAAAGTAATGTCTCTGCTTTTTAATATGCTGTCTAAGTTGGCCATAACTTTCTTCCAAGGAGCAAGCGTCTTTTAATTTCATGGCTGCAGTCACCATCTGCAGTGATTTTGGAGCCCAAGAAAATAAAGTCTGTCACTGTTTCCACTGTTTCCCCATCTACTTGCTGTGCGACACTGGGCAACTTACTTAGCCTCCCTGAGCCTTGGTTTCCTTACCTATGAAGTAAAACATATTTAATGGGGTTGTTGTAAACAGTAAGGAAAATAAAATAATCATAATTTAAACACTTGGTATGTAATAGTTGCTCAGTTCAGTTCAGTCACTCAGTCACGTCTGACACTTTGCAACCCCATGGACCACAGCACACCAGGCCTCCCTGCCCATCACCAACTCCCAGAGTTTACTCAGATTCATGTCCATTGAGTCGGTGATGCCATTCAACCATCTCATCCTCTGTCATCCCCTTCTCCTCCCACCTTCAATCTTTCCCAGCATCAGGGGCTTTTCAAATGAGTCAGTTCTTTGCATCAGGTGGCTGAAGTAATAGGTGCTCATAATTAAAATATTAAATATTAAAACATATTTAAAATATTTTAAATTTTTTAAATTAAAAATATTAAAAATATAAATATTTTTAAAATATTAAAAATTAAAGAGTAATAATTAAAATATTAATTTCACTTTCTAATTAAGTTACCTGGAAATCTTCAGGAGGGTGGAGGAGTGATGGTAAGAGAAAAGGGAGGACGGGAGAAGTGATAGAATTTTGTATCTGGGAAATGTCCTTCTGCCTCAGGTAATTTCTGGTTATCCTGAGCAAACAGAAATAATTGAAGTGGTTCAGCTGCACTGGGAAAGCCACATTTTGCTACATATAGCCTCCCATTTTAGAGGCAAAGCAACAAGCATCTCAAGATCAACGGTGTATATTTTATGTTTCTTATTAATTTACTGGTTCTTAAATCTCTCTATATAATGTCTGAAGTTAATGGAATACAGTCTAATCACTGAATGAGTGACTGAAGTCCTTTGATATTTTGTTGCTGTTTAGAGAGATGCTCCTCTCTGAGAATATAATAAGCCATATTTGTTATAAAATATACTTTATTGAGTTCTTATTTTGGTAAAGTGAAAGTGAAGGCGCTCAGCTGTGTCCAACTCTTTGTGACCCCATGGACTGTAGCCTACCAGGATCCTCAGTCCATGGGATTTTCCAGGCAAGAGTACTGGAGTGGGTTGCCATTTCCTTCTCCAGGGGATGGCCTGTGCTAAATGTTTGCATGTCTCATGTCTTTCTTTTTTGGTAATTGTTTTGGTTTTTTGTTTAAACTTATTAATTTTAAATTGGAGGATAATGGCTTTGCACCATTGTGTTGGTTTCTGCCATGTACCAACTTGAATCAGCCATAGGTATATGTATGTCCCACCCCTTGTGAACCTTCCTCCTACCTTCCAACCCATCCCCCACCTCTGGGTTGTCACAGAGCACTGCATTTGAGTTCCCAGTACAAGTTTGTGGACACAGAGTGGGAAGGAGAGGGTAGGACGAATTGAACGAGTAACACTGAAACATATACAATACCAAACGTAAAATTAGATAGCCAGTGTCTCATGTCTTTCTATGAGTTAAGTGGTCCTGTGCCCATTTTCCAGGTAAGGAAATTGAGGCTTGGAGAAGTCAAGAGCCAGAATCAGTGACAGATTGGGATTTGAGCTCACCTTAACTAGTTCCAGAGCCTGAGTACTTAACCATCATGCAGTACTGCCTCGCTACACCTCAGCTTTGGCTAAAAGACTTAGAGACAGGCCACATGAAAAATGAATCCCCAAGAAAATCCGTGCTTAGAGGGTTTCAGATGATAAGTGATAATCCCATAGATGCCATGCACCCACACAGTGTTGCTACAGGGTCTTGAATGCAAAGCCGCAGAATCATAGGAAGAAAAATAGTTAAACAACAGAGAGACTGTCTCCTTAGACAAGGCAAACATTCTAATTACTCACTTAGAGGATAAGAGTGGTGAAGGAATTGAATCTGTGCAAAAGAAACTGGAAATTGGGTCTCAGCTTTAGACTCTGCGCTGTTTCCCATCTTGGTCAAAATTATGCTCAGTCCAGTGGCCTGTGTCTGTGTGGTTGTGTGTGCATGCGTGTGGAATAGTTTGGCCTGTTGCAGAAAACAGCACCACTTTGGTGATTAACCATAGTTATTATCAATAACTCCCAATCACATGTGATGGATTCTTCACCCACTGACCAGGGTACCAATCATGGGAACCTCTGTGACCTCCCACCCTTCGTTGGCATGTTCCTCCAGAAACATTTTGCCCTGTCTGTGCTATTGTTAAGTTTCCTTATCTTCCACACTGGGCCACATTTGTGCTTTTCTTTTTTGAATTCATCCTGCACACGTGTAAATGGAAGAACATTCAAATATTCTGTCTCCTTTGACTACACACATACCTGGATTAATATCTCATGCTCTGTTTTTTTTCTATTCCCCATCTGTCTTTCAGCTCCAGGGTTCCTTGAAAAGAAAACAGATCGTTAACCTGTCTCCTGCCAACAGCAAGAGGCCCAATGGCTTTGTCGACAACTCGTTCCTTGATATCAAAAGAATCCGTGTCAGCGAAAATCTCGCTGCAGGACCAGGGGGCCTCCCAGTAAATAATGGACAAAGTCAGATGATGTCGGGGACCTTGCCCATGAGCCAAGCACCCCTGAGAAAGACTGCCACGCTGCCGCCCCCTCCTACCCACTCTCCTGGAAATGGTCTGTTCAACATGGGCTTAAAGGAAGTGAAGAAGGAGCCTGGAGAGACGCTGTCTTGCAGCAAGCACGGGGATGGCCAAGTGACCCAGGAGAATATTTTCTCTAACAGGTACGGAGATGATCCCGGGGAGCAGCTGATGGATCCCGAACTGCAGGAGCTGTTTAACGAACTGACCAACATATCTGTGCCTCCCATGAGTGACCTTGAGCTGGAGAACATGATCAATGCCACCATAAAGCAGGATGACCCGTTTAACATCGACTTGGGTCAGCAGAGCCAGAGGAGCACTCCCCGGCCGTCCTTGCCCCTGGAGAAGACGGTGATCAAAAGCGAATACTCCCCTGGCCTGACCCAGGGCCCTTCGGGCTCCCCGCAGTTGAGGCCCTCATCCGCGGGGCCCCCATTCTCCATGGCCAGCTCGGGCCTCTCCACTTCATCCCCGATCCCGTCGGTCCCCCAGAGCCAGGCGCAGCCCCCGCCAGCCTCCGGAGCGGCCCGGGCCCTGCCCAGCTGGCAGGAAGTGTCCCACGCCCAGCAGCTCAAGCAGATTGCCGCCAACAGGCAGCAGCACGTCCGGATGCACCAGCAACAGCAGCAGCACCAGCCCGCCAGCTGGCCAGCCTTGCCCTCCTCGGCAGGGCCCTCCCCAGGTCCCTTCGGGCAGGAGAAAATCCCCAGCCCCTCCTTCGGCCAGCAGCCGTTCAGCCCCCAGAGCACCACCATGCCGGGGGTCGCAGGCGGCGGCAACCCGTCGAAGGTCATGGCGAACTACCTGTACAAGGCCAGCCCCTCGGCCCAGGGGGGGCCGCTGGACGTGCTCCTGCAACCCAAGCCGCAGGACCTCAGCCGGAGCTTTCTGAGCAACCCGCACCCGGCCATGGAGCCCCGGCACGGCAGCACCAAGCCTTTGTTCCATTTCAACTCGGATCAAGCCAACCAGCAGATGCCTTCCGTGTTGCCTTCCCAGAGCAAGCCTTCACTCTTGCATTACACCCAGCAGCAGCCGCAGCAGAGCTCCGTCACGGTGCAGCCACCGCAGCAGCAGCCGCAGCAGCCGCAACCGCAGCAGCAGCCGCAACAGCAGCCGCCGCCGCAGCAGCAGCCGCAGCCGCAGCCACCCGCGCAGCAGCCAGCGGCCCAGCCCACCCAGCCGCTCTCGAACCAGCCCTTGCTGAGGGCCCCGTTGCCACTGCAGCAAAAGATCCTCCTGCAGAAGATGCAGAATCAGCCTATCACGGGACTGGGGTACCAAGTCTCCCCGCAGCACAGGCAGGTAAGGGCCGCGCCCCTCCCCACCCAGAGTCCCCAGACACCGCCGAACTCGCTCAGCATGCTCTGGTTGCCGCTGTGCTCGCGTCAGGACAGAATCAAGACCCCAGAGACAGCAGTGGTCCTGACAGATGCCTCTGAAGGCCTCCTGACGGTTCCCTTGAGGCGTCCGGAGGCAAGAGCATCTTCCTTGTAGAGCGGCACTGTCCCTGGGGTCTGCTCTTGCTTGTTAAGAATGTTGCCTGAGGATCGGTGCCTTTAGTGGCATGTCCAGTTGGCAGTAATCTTCCGATAATGCTCATGCCTGGTGCATATTCATTCAGTCGATAAATCGGTCATTAAGTCGACATGCGTGTTCCGAGTCCCTGCCGTGTGTATGATGTAGTGATTATGCTGAGTACTGAAATAAGGCCAGACGTGATATTAAGAGTGTTGAATGACAAATAGACACCCACACCAACCCACTGAGATGTCTAAATGTCCAGCCCATCATAGTAGATCCTGCTGTGACTCCACGCTCGTGCATAAGGCTTGAGTACCCCCCACAAGTAAGACCTGTTCTCTGTCTTCAAGTTCAGTCTGGAGAGGGCAACAGGCTTTTAAAACAACCATCTTAATACTGAGTGGAAAGGATAATGATATATGGAGCACAAAGGCTGGGTATTTACCAAGCAGGGGGACATCAGGGAAGACTGCTGGAGAAAGTGATGTATGAGTTAATGTTAAAGGGTGAAATTGTCATGACTACAAACAGGAAAAAAAAAAAAAAGGCTGTGGTTACCTTATATCCTGCGGTTAACATAAAGCAGAGATCTTATTCTGCCCCAAACAGGAATCGTGTGAGGAGATAGCTCTGTCTCCAGAGCACTGGTGAATCAGAGCTGCTCCCCAGGGAATTTGAAAGGAAAAAACCCTTCCTGGAATAAGTGAAGGGAGGACGGAAGGAAGGAAGTAAGGAAGGGAGACTGGATGTTGCTTTGTGCATGTAATTTGACAGGTCTCTGTTAGTGTCCAAGCACAAAGACAGCATGTGACATGTCAAAACAATATGTCAGGACAGTGTGACAGCGCAGAGCCTCATTCCAATCACATTCCTCGAGTCGTTTGTGCGGCTGCTGCCCAGAACAGAATGCCACTGGCAGCACAGACCGCGGCCAAGCTAACCTTCGCCCTAGATACACGCCAGGAGGAAACCAGACCCAAACAGGATTCAAGAGCTGTGTCCCACAGAAAGCTCTCGGTTCTTAACCGCCTACATCGTAGATTGTGAAGAATGGGCTTGGAGTAGCGTACTGTGTGTACTTTACAAAGTTCCATTTTTAACATGGGTAATTTTGGGATCATTTGAAAACAAACAGTATTGTGGAATTACTTTCTAATATTATGTGTAGCCTTTTTGCTGTGACTGAATCTGGGTTTAAATTCTTACTCGGATAGTCTAGCTGTATGAACCTCAGTCAAACCAGTGAACCTCTGTAAGCCTTAGTTTTCTCACCTATAAATGAGGGTAATAATGTATATCCTAGGATTTGGGAAGAATAGGTGATATCTTTCTTAGGCCAGCATCTAGAATAAAGTTGGCTACTACTGTGCTTATCATGGAAAAGGCCTTACATGATATCAAAATATTTTTAACAAGCATTACTTTTATGTAGGAGATCCCTTGTAGTAAGTCTCAGATTTTAGCATAAGCAGTACTCGAGGAATAAAAGAGAACTTACCTTAGTTCTGTCTAGCACTATGGTGAGTGGGTAATGATTTGCCTTTCCTGGGCCTGGACTTCTGACCGTAAAAGTGGAAATAATAAATAATGAGATATTACTAAGAGTCATGATTTATTGACTACTTATGACTAACATGACTTCTGTCTCCCTTACTGCTATCTCATTTACTCATATAAAGTAATTACCATTATTCTCATGTTACAGTTGAAACAGTTGAGGCTCAGAGAAGTAAGTTTTCCAAAGTTACATGGATAACAAGTAGCAGACGCATGATTCTAATGGTCTACTTTGAAGGCTGTACTTTCAGCCATGAGGCTGTACCACTCACAAGTAGGATTTGCTTGGATATGAGTTTGTAGATCATTGTGAAATTCTCAAAAGAAATATTTCTTATAATACTGAGCCATATTTACATAATCTACATAGTAAATTAAGTTTGGGGGGTAGTAAAGTCTCATCTTGAATTACCTTCAGAGTTGTTAAAGAAAAAAAATCAAAAAATATCTGTGTGACCTTTGACCTTCCTGAGAATGAGCATTATGAAGCTTAACCAAAATAAACAATGTGCAACAGGAAATATAGCTCTTTGCTGCCCTATCAGCCCTTCTTTGGGAGCCTTCCTGCCACCTCCAACATCCTCTGTCCTATTTCCGCCTCCATCGCTCATGGCAACAACTGTCCACCACATTTCTGACCCCTTGGCCTCCACCCCAGCTCCCCAGGGCCCAAGCACCCCAATGGGTGCTAATGGACAAACTAACAAGCATCTTCCAGTGTGTTAGACAGTTTTTTACTTTTCCTGGTACATGCGACACTTATGATGCCAAGATAATTTTCATCTTCAAGAAGGACCTCAGGGAGCAGAAATGGTGGGTGACATTGGCTGGCAGGCAGTGGCCCTCCATTCAAAGCCTAATCCTCAGCCTTATCAATTGAACTGTATTGTCCCTTCCGACTCAACAGTTTGATGAAGTATGACTCAAGTGTCCTGTGTCTGAGTTGTGAGCAAGTGTATCACAGTTCTGTAGTCAAATGTCACCCTCTTGAAAGAATTCATGTTTAGAGGGGTTGGGCCCATTCTCATCATGGTGCTGTTACAGTTGCAGAGTTTTTTCCCAGGGATTGTCTTCAAAGCTTTTAGCACATCAAGGAGATTATTATCAATACAGTAATATTCATCTTGTCAGGGTTATTTTTGAAAACAGCCAAACTGAGTATTGCTACATTGGGTCAAAAAAACAAAGAATAACTACAGTATGATGGAACTGCATTGCAAATTTTCTTTGTGAAATTTCTCTGAATATAATAAAGAAGTAAATGAGTTGCTTCCCAAGATGATCATTTTGAGAAGGGATTTTCACTTGGATGTACATATTTCTAGGTTTTTCCATTTTTATTGTCTCATCCAGTATGTTGCCAAGTATTCTCAACTCCAAGAGGGTAGTTTTAACTCTGCCATTCATAGGAGAGAGTAGAGATCTGTGTTCTCATTTCAGATTAGCGAAATCTCTGATACTCATGACCAAAGTTATGGGCAAACAGGGATTGGAAATTAAACAGTTCTTATGTTTATCAACTAAAGAATCCTGAACAAAAATAGTAGTCATGGATTTTTTTTTTTTCTGCTTGTCACACTCACTTTGTGTCAAACACAGGAAGATTTACTAATGAGATATGCTAATTGGGACACTTTAGTTTGGGAATGGTGGAAATCTTGGCTCTCTGATACAAAATAGTAGATTGAATTTGTTAATCATTTGTTTAGAATTTACCCAGTAGTCTAGGCAAAGATGACCTTCTCTTCAGCGTCAGAACTCTGAACCCACACAGGGCTGCATGCTCAGGCAGAGGCTGAAATTGAGGGGTTCATATGTCCTTCTCTCTTTATTGGGTACCCTGTTCTTCTAGATGTGAATGACACCCAAGAGTTGGATACAGCATAATCGAATTGTTGGGCGACATTTTTATCATTCCATGCCTGGAGTGGTTTTAAGTAATCCATTCCCTGGAGGCTGGGAGAACAAATGGTATTTGGTGTTTCACAAAATGTCTTCAGCAACTCTGTCTTGCTGATGTTTGGGGCTTGGCAAATGGAAATCCCTCCTGGCTATAATTTTCTTCTTTTTCCTATTGGAAGGTTATGGGAGAGGGCAGGAGAGGGGTGTAGTGCATGCTGTTCTGATTTATCTTCAAGTCACTGAATACTTCCTTTAAGGTGTAAGAGAATTATTGGTTGACCAGGGCTCATGAGAGTTCAATTCAAAGCCTTAACCTCTTCAACTAGAATACAGTCTTTTTCAGAGCTATATAATCAGACACTTGAAAGTGTGAATTTTTTTTTCTAACATTAGAGCCATGAAACTCGAGTGGATTCTATATTTGGTTTAGAATTTTCCCATCTCTAAAAATTCTGAGAGGGAAGGCAGCCAGTGAATGGATGGTTTGTTATGACCAAAACATAAATTTATACATTTCCTTTTTAGTTTAAAGCCAAGTTCTTCGATCATATATTAGGAACCTCAACCCACTCTCTCTACCTAGCCAAGTTTATCCTTCAGTACTCTATATATCAACCATTGGCATAAATCAAGCAGTGTTCTCCTCCCCTCATCTTTAAGTTAGTCTTGGGTGTAGCTAATCTTAAAGATGAACACTCAAAAGATTGTTTCCCAATTGGCCTAGCTGACGTTGGAGCATTCTCTTATGTACTGACAATGCTTCTGAATCCTTTTAATTGCCCAGAGAAAGTTCCAGAGGAAAAATAGAACCTTCAATCAATTGGGAATGCCGTTTCTAGTAGGAGAATATGAATTCATAGTTCTACAACAATATAACATTCAATTCACCCCTTTGCTGGGGGATAGAGGTTGGTTAAAGTGTCAGTCAGTTAGGCTAGTGCCAGGGTTTGGTTTTAGGGGCCAGAATCAAGTGAGGGGAAGTCAGGAGCATGAAGGGCCAAAGACAGAACCTAGCCAAAATCCTAAAAATGCTGGGAAACAAGATTAGTCAGTATACTCAGAATCCAGGAGTGAATTTGAAAGATGGTAACAAACTCATGATTTCACAAGTCACCTAAAATCTAGAGTTGAAATTAGGATAGAGACTTGGGAGATAAGTCTAGGTGGTCATCACAAATGACCTTCAACCATTTGATGATTTCCATTATGACTTACCTTGGCTGGGTTAGGCTGGCAAAAAGAAAAAGAGCTGGTACAAATGTTGCACATGGCAGGCAAGGAGCATTATTTTTATATTTTCATTTTATCTTTGATAGTACATC